TGGAAAGGGAAACTGCAATGTAAATAATGACATTATTTTTAAAAGTTAGTTAAAAAAGAGTCACATAAAATCGAAGACATATACCATGTTCTGCGATATATTATGAAGATGTCTATATTCGTTTGAGTGAATATTGAATACATTTTCACGAAATATGATGAATTTCATGTATTTGCACAAACCATAACAGATTTGTGGTCAACTGTCTTAAAATAGTATTTTTGTTTTCATAAGCTTGATCGGGGCATGCAATTTGTGTAATATGTATCACAATAAATGTATCAGCTTTTCTCGCAAACGTTCAATAGGTTTTTGTTGTTTTTTAGTTAAGTAGAAAGTACAAGATTCATTGTACTTATTGTTGGTATTACCTTACAGATGAAGGTGACTTATGTGTCTGAGATAATGAAACCTCAAGGTCATTATACCATTTTAGTGGTCATTGTTATTTCTTAGCAAAAATAAATTCCGTGGTTCAAACCCTGTAAGGGAAAAGTCGTTGTTTCCTTGAGCAGGAAACTTTACATTCAATACTTAGTAATGATTGGTTCCAGGAACGTATTCGAGAGTGCTTCGATAAGCTTAAAGCTTCCAACACAATCGGACTTAAATAGATTTGTATAAACTAATCCGTGATAGAAGTTGAAAAGGTACTGAAAGTTTTATAGAGTAATGAAAGTCTCAAGCACAATAGTAAATTCAAATGATTCATAAGACATAGCATTGGAAAACTATTTAAGGGATTTTTAATCGATAGAAATCCATAGTTATTTTTCAAGGTCAAATCAATTTGCCATTGCTTCTAATTAGGATTCTATAGAATATAGGGAAATTATCATACATGCAAAATATCTCAACTAACCGTACACGTTACTTTTCTTGACATGCGGATGCATAGCTTGATTGTGGCCACTTCTGCAGAAATCTTCTTTAAAACACCCCTGTACTCGCTTAACATTACATGTGAAAATGCTCAATGAAGTAAAATTGAAATGTAATAATGTTAAAAACACAGACTCTTTAACATTTTTGTAGATTGAATTTATACAACTGTTAAGCGAGTATAGACGCTTTTTAAGGAAGATATCTGCAGAACGTATGATGCATTCATATACTCTACATGTAGTTCCTGATTATTATCACCAGGGTGATTTTAACATTATGATATATTTCTATGAGCAAGTATATCATATTTACTAAATGTGTGATTATTCATTTTCCTTCGCATTTTGTAACACCGCACATTGGGGTCCAACGCACTTTGGGTCCATTTCTGACCTAAAAGTGCGTTACAAAGGTAAATATTCATTTTTTTACATCAGACAAACAAACGACTGCACTTTGGGGCGATAAAAATTCTGTCCATAAAAATTATTTTTAATGATGTTTTAAAGTATTATGTTGCAGTTAGTGCCGATGGTAAACAAAAAACAAAGAATTAAATAGACGCAACACATGTGCTCTGAATTATAGTAGAATCAATAGGGATTCTAACTGATCTTGATCAGTTAGTGAATAGCTTTCATCAAATAAATACTTTGTTTCAATTAATAAGCTTAAAATATAGTTTTTCTTACATTTTCTACATATTTTAAAGGAATGTATACCTTATATTAACTCAATTGTTTTTAGCTAATTCCATCATTTTCCCGCTTTTTTATTTACACATTTTATAGAAACATGAAAATCTTTGTATAAACATAGGTATAAATTCTGGGCAATCTTAATAAGACATTTCAGCAAAAAATGTTCCTGATAATATTTTGAACGGGCCATTTCTTTAGCTTATCTAAATATGACATGTAAGAAACTTGACATGGTGCAGATGCGACTTTAAGCACTAGTCAGTACACGCAGTACTAAACAATATCATCTTCTATTTAGGAAGTTACAAATTATCAGCGGGACTTTATCATAATGTAAAATTCTCACTGGGGAACTAGATGGAAAAGTGGGGTGTCAACCCGGCACTCGAGATTATAAAAATACGTTTTAAAGGCACATTATGCTTTAATTTGTATTTTTAAAAACTTTTTTTTTTGGTGTTGGTGTACTTCTATAGTATCCAAAAAGATACTCATTGGCCAATTAGCTGAATTATCTTGTTCATCTGTTGCTTTTTGGCAATAAGTACAGTTATAAGAAACTAGTATTTTATATGGAAGTCAAATACTACATTGTTGACATTTTGTTACTTTTATGACAAATTATATCACACTTATCGCTACTTTATTCAGGTTACAAGCATCTTACATTTCTCTGATATCATCTTTTAAATGATTGGTTAAATAAATAGTTTTGTTTAGTTGTCGATTTGAAGGTGCAAAAGAGAGTAACTGTCGATCAGATCGTCATATAAATCATAAGCGGACCTGCCTGCATTTTAGTCCGATTCAATTGTTCCTTAGTCATATATGTTGTTAATTCCCTATTGTTAAGAAGGTGGGTGCATGGAGATTTTAGTTACAGGTGGACACGGGTAAAACAGCGTCTTAACATAATTATGCAACGTATTCTTCTCAAAAATTGTTATAGTTATCACTTATCAGCCTTTACACGAGCAATTATGTTGATATGAACATTTGTTTGCATTACATTGATCTTCTTCAACAGATGAGAACATCATTCACTAAACGCAGCTGTCAGCAGCATCCAGGCAAACGAGATCGTCGTCAGGCACCAAGTCGGGAAAAAAATGGGGGGTCTAAATTAATAAAATTTTACCCAAAAGGGATTTATATTTGACGATCAAATGGTGCAAATTTAGCACTGAATAGGCGAAAGCCGTATTTATTCAATATGGTAAGTAATTAATGACTCGTAATTGTTACGGAAGAATGTCTCTAATTGGAAATGTTGATTTTATTTATTTAAGCTAAGAAGGAAATTTTGAACTAGCACTGAGACTTTCTTAAACTTTCTGGATGAAACAGAATCATAATCCATACATATTGTTGAAAAAAGCTGGTGGTTACCATCCTTTTTTTAAGTAATCTGCCATTAAAAGTGATTTCATTTATCTTTCGGTAGATAACTCAAAACTATGCCAACAAATACCTCCTTTGATTTTTAAATTTGTGTTTGATAGTTCATTTCTTGTTATTATGCAAATTTTGTTAAAAATTCTATGCCGCATATATGTTGGCTTAATACAATGCAGATATATTTTCATTGAAACGAGATGTGTAAAATAGAATTTGTGAAAAAATAGACCTGTAGTAATTATAATGGAAAACCATACGTCATATCAAAGAAAAATGTATACTTCGTAAAATAAACTCAACGACATAAAATGATTACAACCGTATGTAAATAACTTTTTGTTTGCTTTTCAGATACAACATGTGTTTCTCATATACAAAAGATTCTCACGAGAAAGAGCTTACATGAGTTATTTATTTCATTGCTGCTGCTAAACAACTCAGAATGTTTTACAGGACAGCATACAAAGATTGATAAAAGATAACTATCTGAATATCTCCATTTCATTCGTTTCTCTTTGCATGTTCATATCTATACATTAATCAAGAACTCCTATCTGAAAATTTAATTAGTTTTTTAAAAAGAGGGTTGTATGTGAAATGATAAAACGCTGGTGTCTTATATTCCTTTTTGTTACAGTTTACATAATACTTAGTTTGTCGTACTTACCTTGCTGATGACACACTTATGATATTAGATTCTATCATTGTATCATGCAAAGCCTGTCGTTTTCGCATATTTTTTGTTTTAATCAATGATTAAACAAGTACAATGTTGATGCTGCACATCAAAGACGCCGCTAAATGATGTAAACAGTCACAGTTAATGTACAAAAAATCAACTTTGAAAATTGTTGAACTTCTCTATTACAGTTAAATGTCCGAAGCATTTATTAATTTTTCTTGATATGTGTTCACAAACTTCCATATGATATTAAATTCAATATATATAGAATGAATTTTAGTTAAATAATTGTATTTTTTTAAACATTTATTGTGTTCCTTATACAAATCATTTCTGTTGCGCTGAGATTCCGAATAAGTCTATTTCGCAGGCATGTATAACCTTCCGAAACATTAAAAATAATTTTGTTTCCTTGAATTTTACAACAACTTTCAATGCTGATACTACATTTAATATATATATAATGAGTTTGATTATTGGTGTTTATAACAATACATTCTTTCTTTGTTGAAAATCATCTCTGTTGCGCCAAGAATATGTCCATTTTGCGGCCATTTTACCAGTAAAGAATCCTTCAAAACAACCTATCGCAAATATTTGTGATACATTTTAAAACAAACTTACTTTTTTACTCAGTTAATCGGTTTTGCTACTTAAATATTAATTATTTTCCTGAATAAGCATACGTTGTGTCTTTTTGCAAATATGTTCGTTGCGCCCGTTGCGCCAAAAATATCTCCGTTGCGTATTTTAGTCACACCCCTGGTTTCCTTGACAAATTTGGTTCCCGTCATAAAAGTATAGAATGGCTCATTGGCACTTTATTTATTAGGTAAATAAAAAAGTTAAAAATGAAAGAATATGATATTCAAACAATGCACTATCACTTAAGTCAAACGTTTATTTTATTTCTTTAAAGCTCTGTGGTATGTTGTACATCAGATAAGCTATTCTTATTGGAGAATCTGAAAACAGTGTAAGTTTGTTTAAACAAAATAAATAAACAAAAGCAAGACTAAAATTTTCCTCATTGCTGAATGGACGAAGGCATATTTAGTAGCCGCCGCGTGCACTTGACTTCTAATAATTCTCATAATGCCAAAAATCATAATGCAAAAACATTGTAAAACTTAATTTTCCATATTTCATTTCAAATAAATTCAATGGGATGCATATTGATATCAATAAAAACGACAAAATATGTCAAAATAAAGTTGCTTTTAGAATAATTGTAGTTTTGCTTCAAATGAGAGCATGAGAAGTTCAGCATGTAAATCAACTTATCAAACTTTTTAACCAGCCCTCTGTCATGAATTCAAGTAGCATTGCAAAAAAGCAGAAACAGCGGAGGCCCTTGAAGAAAATTGTTGAAGCCTTAGTTCATTTTCAGTTCGCTTCTCCGACAAACAAGGACACAATGTTGTTCTCTGGATCTTGTGCGTTTTTTCTTTTACTCTTAAAATACCAGTTTAGCGTGTCTTTGGCGAATGAACCAATGTGCTCAAAATTTGCTTATGATGAGCAACTTTTAGAGAAAATGATAAGGCAGGAAATAAAAGTAGAAATGATGCAGAATGATATTAAGAAAACCCAAGAAGCTGTTTCCATTACGCTGGAGGAAATTAAGAAAACTAGTGTAGAGGTGTCCAAAACACTGGAGTCCTTGCAGAACAATGCCACGGAGGTGATAAAAGGAATCATCCGCGACAAAGAAATAAACGAAGGTAATGTATTTATCTAATGTTATATATTTTAATTTACTTATTCTTCTACAAATATTTAAGGGAAATTTGCTATTGAATTATTCTAAAGACAATTCTTCTAATACTTTGTCAATGAATAACACGGTTCATAGACAAGCTCGAGTCAAGTAAACATTAATATTCTAAAATCATTATACAGCACCGAATTACCTTAATTTGATTAAAATATTTAACTTAAAATTCATATTTAATTTCCTGGTGCGGTAGAGGATTTTGAGTAAATTCATACATGTACGATTCTTAATGTTCTGCTACTCGTATTACAAATAATCACAATACCACATGTTCATTTTACTAAACAAACAAATGCACTACTAGCAGTGCTCGTTCCATACATAACCTGAAGAATCCTAATATTTTGTAATATTATTTAATATTGAAACATTTAGAGTAATATATGCATAATTTTGGATTGTTCTTGAAATCGATGTTAATGAAAAAGGGTTTTCCCAAACTAAACTTGGTAATCAGAATATGATGTTGTGGGGTAATCAATATTGATAATCAGATACGAATTGTTCCTTACAATGATGAGAAATCAAATTTACATTCACAAATGTCCATATGATGCCAATGCGTCCCTTACCCTGATCCAAGATGTTCATAAATTTGGTCTGAAATTTCTAAAACCTGGTTCAAAGTTTAAAGTATACTACAATAGAAATAAAGATCATGTTGACCAAGATTGTGTTTTATTTTTGACAGAAATACTGAGAAAAACATTTGAAGAACAACGGAATAATTTCACAACTGATATGGAAGAAGGAAGGAAAATGTTAAAAGAACTTTCAGGTAAGATAAAAAAATATCAGCACATTAATCAAGTATTTTCCTATTCATAGCTTAATAGTAAAATGAATGCGACAATAACATACATTATCATTGTATATTCAAATAAATAATCATAGATACATGTATTAAATTTTATAATTGATATTAGGATATGAGATCGAATTAAGCTGTGTCCATGTGTTCTTTGCTTTTTATATAAGTTTCTTTTTGGTAGTTGGAGTTCGAACTCTTGAACATATTTTCATTTGACGTTTATTCAAAATATGTTGTCTCTGATTTTATTCTTTTTGTAAACAAGTAAATGCAAATCGTACCATTCGTGGCAGAATAATAAACGATATCTATCGAAATACACTTCTAAAATCTTTTGTTCATTTACAGAAAACATGAAAAAGCCTTCCGTTGCATTCTTTGCACACAATGTGGTAGATCGTAAGCTTGACATGACAGACAAGACCATCATATTTACCACAGCAACGACCAATGAAGGGTCAGGATATGACACTTCCACTGGGATCTTCACAACACCTGTCGGGGGATTGTACCAATTTATTGTTAACTATTGTACATACAACAAGCAACATTCACCTCTTGCGTTGGTACTATCAGGAAACGTGATTGCTCGGTCGTCAGATTATGAGGCAGACTACTATACTTGCAGTTCCTTTTTTGCAGTTATAAGAGTGAAATCGTCAGAAAAGATATGGGTTAAATGTTTGGCTGGCTATTCCGGTCGTTCTTTATATAAAGACAGTTGGATGATGAACTCTTTCGCTGGAATTCTTATCAACAAATAGAACATTCATAACCAACATTCATATCACATAGCAAAATGTTTGAATACAGTATAACTTAACTGAATTGACAATTAAAAGGCTTGAAGTTAATATACATGATAAAGTTCTAAGCTTATTGCTTAATTAAATATCTTACAATTTTTGGGTTTCGAGAAAGATGGGTCAGCAAGAATGGTCCTTGGTATTTCCTGTGAATCACTGTTTATAAGTAACTCTAAATATAGTTTCGAACTTTCAAAACAATACAAGGCTGATGAATTTATCTTCAATATATTTGAATTATACGTCTTGTTATAATGTAGATTTGTATTATCATATAAAGAATTTACATTTACGCATTTTTTTTTCAATATAGGTAACATACATTTGCTAATTAGAAAAAATGACAATGAAAGTAAAATTGTCTGACATCAGTATCTGTAATAATGGTTTATTTCATTAACTTTGCACATCAGTAGTTATGTTTAACACAATAATGAATAAAATAATTTGTAACATTTAAGCATAGTTTTGAAAGGGTCATTAATTGAAAAAGGAAATTGTAGTGTAAATCAACATTATATTTAAAGGTTGGTTAAAAAAAGAGTCACATAAAATCCAAGACGTTAACCATGTATATGTTCTGTGATATTTATTCGTTTGACTGACTATTGAATATATCTTCACAAAATATGGTGCAATTTCATGTACTTTCAAAGGCGGAACGGATTTGTGACATTTGTGTTGAATTAGTGTTTTTGTGTTCACATGCTTTTGTATAATATATCACAATAAAATGTATAAGATTTTCTCGCAAACGTTCATAGTACTAGTGTTGCTGTATCTTTGGTTTAGTAGAAAGATGTAGGAAATACAAGGGTCATGGTATTTATTGTTGGCTTTGTGAACGTTACCTTTACCTTGTTGATCTTTATTTTTTATTACATAACAGTTTAAGATAACAAACGTGTATGAGCCTCAAGGTCATTATACCATTAGTTGGTTGTGATTATATTTCAAAGCAAAAATAAATCATTACGTGAATAGTTATTGAAAGTGTTATAGAGTAGTGCAAGTCTCAAGCATAAAAGTTATTTGAAATGATTCATAGGAAAAAGCATTGGAGAAATATTTAAGGGATATTTAATCGACAAAAATCCATAGATATTAAAAAGTACAGTTATTTTTCAAAATGTAATCTATTTGCCATCCCTTCTATTAGGAATCTATAAAATAAAGGGAAATAATTAGATAAAGCATGAGTTGTCACTTCTGCAGAACACTCCTGTACTCGCTTAATGAGACCCTTCTTAATATTACCTCATACATATTCATAGATTTTTCAGAACGAGGTTAACAGGGCAAGCTTCGGTATCTGCTCTATGTAAACATATCACGATTATATGGCCGAAAGATTTTTCTACAGTGTCAGAGATCTTGATAATGTTCTGTTTGCTACATACTTGTTGAGAACTATATTTAAATATTACAAAAAATCTTTTCTGGAGAATAAATAAATCAACAAAGGGTTTAATTTACACTATACACAGTGAAGGATATACAAGACCTGATAAGTCAATTAAAGTTTATGATAATTCCAAGTAATTTCTAATATTCTTTGTCAGTATAATTTCAGGTTAATCTTTTTCAACTTAAATAGACATTATCTGTGTTATCAGTATTTTATTGCTAACCTAAACACATGTTGGTCAAGAGTGTATATAAGCATATTAACTGATAATAGATGTAAAACAGTTGGATGCTGAATTCTGTACCATACTTCCCCTAAATTTAGCTATTGAAATAAAAAAGTTAAAAAAGGTTTTATTCACTTTGCATTTAAAAGTAAAAAAATCTGGATGACTCTCTAGAACATGTAGAAACTTGTTAATTTTACAGACAGCCTTATCAAATCAAAAATAATTTTTTGTTTAAACATGACACACCTGTTCTTATACATTTCAATGGATTTTCAGTATCAAAACACATGATGTTGTTTACAGCAATATAAAAATACATTTCATGCTAAGTAATGGAACGTAAAACTTGTATTATTATCAACTATATAAAATTTATAATAATTATTAGGTAAAATATTAGTATATAACGAAACATGCAATCATTTAATTGCAATATCAGCTTTTTAAGACCGAAGTGAAAAGTATCTTAGAATATCACTTGTCCAGTTGGTCTGGAACATTTTTGATTATGTGATCATTATTGGGTTGGAACCCCTCTATGGCGTATATAACAAATCATTGGGGAAACATTTTGGGCACATCCAGAGGTGTTGCGCTGGATTACCAATTTTGTAACTTGGGGGAGACATTTGCAGAAAAACCTGTGCAGGACCTTTGCGTCGGAGGTTATTAGGAAAGGCCCGCACAAGTTTTAGCCTTCTTTTACAATTCCCAGTAATATTCTCTCAACAATTATAATTGCCAATAATAGGAAAAAATATTAATCGTAATTAACATGTTGACATATTCCCTGCAGCTGTACCATATATGTAACAAAGCACAATGTTAAAAACAAAGTAATGCGATGATTTCTTTTTAAGTTTTTATTTAAATTCAAGACTGAACAAACTGTCCTTTAAAATATGCTTAAAAACATTTCGTCAGTCAAGCTGATTGTTTTGCTTGCATCATAATAAACGCTCTTAATGTTTTTGCTGATGTTTTACACATTGAAAACTGTGATGAATATATAGTAAATTTTGTTGGAAATCCTGTATAACATTACAAAATATACAACTGTCAACATTTGAAAATTTGTTTGTATCAAACGTTTAATATCACTGTTTGTTTTCTTCCTAGGTTTTCTGTAATTCTTCTTTAAAATGTTTGATAGTTTCTTTTTCATCTGTTACGCCACTGCCATGAAGAGATATTACAATTTAAGGCGATTCAAATACCAGTTGTCAATTTGTGTTCATGACAGTTACCAATGGAACCTGAAAAAAATATATACATTTTATTTAGAAGTGGAAACAAGAATTATGACATTTCTAGAATATATCAATTTATATTTTAATTGCACATATATTTTTTTACAGGGCCTGAATTTTGTTTATGTGTAAAGAATGAAAATTAAGTCTTGTGTATACCTTTCATCTGGTAATGAAATCTTCTTCTTTAGTGTTCATCTTACTGGTCTGCTCATTATTACTCTAGTCGAACCATCTACAGGGTACATCTATTCTCTTCAGACATATATGAATTTATGTCCATGATTGTAATTCTTGTGTGAAATGCTTCAAAACGAGCAACTATTGCAAAATATTGATCTGAAATAGTACATAAAATAACCGTTATTGCTTTTTAGTATAAAAACGGTATTGATTAAGATTTTGAAGAAATTATGTTTTAAATGTTATCATTATAAGTGTGATATTTTAAATGAAATTTATGAACAAAACATATAATTACGTTTATAATTTAATGAAACATTTAAATCAATGAGAAATCAGAGTAATTAATGTAAGCAGTAATACATCTTAAACAGCTTGGTTTAATAAGAAAAGAAAAATGGTATTTTACCTTGAATTGTTCTTTCATCCATCTTATTTTCACAATCCTTTCCTTTATTAAACTCACATCCTTAGGTATTTTATGAAAATTAACGGTATAATCATATCTAGAATTGGAATAACAGAGTGGAATAAAAATGAGATTTCCCCAGCAAGTTAAACACACTATAGGGCTTATCAGGTCGGACATTATTTGTTTACATTCATGCCCAGCCTCTCTCTGGTGATGGAATGTAAAGTATGCATATAATTTGAGAAAGGTGTTTAGGAAAAGGTGAAAATGCTCAATGAAGTAAAATTGAAATGTAATAATGTTTATAACTGAGACTCTCACTTTTTTGTAGATGGAATTTATACAAATGTTAAGCGAGTACAGACGCTTTTTAAAGAAGATACAACGTATGATGCATTCATACAATCTAACTACATGTAGTTCCTGATTATGATCATCAAGGTGTTCTCTCTTAACATTAAGGTGTATTTCTATGAGGAAGTATATCATATTAACTTAATGTGTGATTATTCATTTTCCTTCGCACTTTGTAACACCGCACTTTGGGGTCTAACGCACTTTGGGTCCACTTTTGACCTAAAAGTGCGTTACACAGGTATATATTCATTTTTTAACATCAGACAAACAAACGACAGCACTTTGGGGTGATACAAATTCTATAAATAAAAATGAATATTAATGATGTTTTAAAGTATTATCTTGTAGGCAAAGCCAATGTTAAACAAAAATCAAGGACTTGAATAGACGTAACACATGTGCCCTGAATTATAGTAGAATCAATAGGGATTTTAAATGATCTTGATCAGTTAGCAAATAACTTTAATCTAATAAAGACTTTGCTTCAATTAATAAGCTTAGAATGTATTTTATTTTATGTCTCACATTTTCCACATATTTTAAAAGAATGTATACCTTTCATTAACTCCATTGTTTTAGCTAATCCTGCTTTTTTATTTACACATTTTATTGAATCACGATTTTCTTTGCATAGACAAAGGTATAAATTCTGTGCCATCTTAATATGACATTTAAGTAGAAATGCGCCTGATGATATGTTGAACGGGCCATTTCTTAAGCTTATCTAAATGTGACATGTAAAAAACTTGAGTAGGTGCAGATGCGGCTATAAGCAGTATTCAGTACTAAAAATATCATTTACTATTTAAGTAGTTACACATTAACAGCGGAGCTTTATCAATATGTAAAGTCCTCATTGGGGATCTAGAGGGAATGATGGGGTGTCGCCTCCCCCCCCCCAGCACTCGGGATTATAAAAGAAAACATTTTAAAGGCCCATTATGCTTAAATTTGTATTTCTCAAAAGTTTTTTTTAATGTTGGTGTACTTCTATTCTATCCAAAAAGATACTGATTGGCCAATTAACTGAACTATCTTTTTCATCTGTTGCTTTTTGGCAATAAGTACAGTTATAAGGAACTAGTATTTTATATGGAAGTCAAATACTACATTGTTTATATTTTGCTACTTTTATGACAAATCATTTTCACACTTATCGCTACTTTATTCAGGTAACAAGCCTATAACATTTCTCTGATACCATCGTTTAAATGATTGGTTGAATAAATCATTTTTTTTTAGTTCGTCGAGTAACTGACGATCAGATCGTCATATAAAACATAAGGGGGCCTGCATTTTAGTCAGATTGATTTGTTCATTGATTTATTTCCCCATTGTAAGCAGGTGGGTGCATGGAGATTATAGTTACAGGTGGACACAGATAAAACAGCGTCTTAACATAATAATGCAACGTATTCTTCTCAAAAATTGTTATAGTTATCACTTATCAGCCTTTACACGAGTAGTTATGTTTATATGAACATTGGTTTGCGTAACATTGATCTTCTTTAACTTAATCAATTAGTCTGAATAACAAATGTGAAAGGAAAGATTAACGAAGGAGAACAACATTCAGTAAACGCAGCTGTCAACACGAGATCGTCGTGAGGCACCAAATATGGTTAAAAAGATCAACTAGGAAAGGTGGCATTCAATGAACGCAACACCCACACGACCCAGCAACAAGTCGGAAAACAAACACAAATGTGGGGAAATGAAAATAAGGCTATATTTTAATTAAATAAAATAAATAAGTAAATAAATAAAATTTTACCCAAAAGTGATTTATATAATTATGGCGATCACATAGTGCAAACTTTGGCACTGAATATGAAAAATAACCGTGTTCATTTGACCTTCCGATCAAAAGTCAATATGTCAATACAACATCAATGACTCTTAAATGTTCAAGTAGAATGCCTCTAATTGGAAATGTTGATTTTGTTTATTAAAGCAAAAAAGGATAATTTAGACTAGCAAATAGATTTTCTTAAACTTTTCTAGATGAAACAGAATCGTGATGCATACATATTGTTAAAAAAAGCTGGGGATTACCATCCTTTTTATAAGTAATCTGAGATTTTAATTATCTTTCGGGTCATTTCAAGGGTAGATAACTCAAAACTATGCCAATCAACACCTTCTTTGATTTTAGATTTGTGTTTTTGTAAATGTACGAAATTTGCTGAAATTCTATGCGACAAATATGTTTCCTTGATATAATGCGGATATATCTTCATTGAAACGAGGTGCGTAAAATGAATGAACTTATTTGTAAGTTGTTTTATTTTTTAGATGAATAGGCTTACAGTAATTATATCTTTGATATTCTCTAGATAGTGAAAAATTCAGGCGTCATATCATAGTGAAAATGTTTTATTCGTTAAATAAATTTTAAGAGGAATGACATATTAACGGTATTTTATGATGTCAAACATTTAACCATTAAAAATCACGATTACTTTAATGAGAAATGAACTCAAAATGTATATAATATCGCTACAAATGGAGATTTTGTAATATAAATGGGATGATTTTAAAAGTGGAACATCTCAAACTAGTCGTAAACGTTATATAAATTTGCTTTTCTCTCTCCTCAGTGTTACATATTAATATTCTTGTGCATACGTCTTGCCAAACATACTTAATTTGTATAATTTTCATGAAGGTAAAACATAAAGTACATTGTGCTTTAATTGTGTTTATCTGTAGAAATCAACTTTACATTAAAATAAAAAAGCAAAGATATATCTACTATCATGATAAAAGACATTGTATGAATAACTCCGTGCAAGAAATAAAATAAACACACAAGTTTACGTAGAAAATATTAGAGCCGCGTCATGACAAAACCAACATAATGGGTTTGCGGATGCGCAGGCTGGTCTGGATCCATGCTGGTCGCGAACTCATTATGTTGGTTTTGTCATGACGCGACTCATTTCTATTTATTATGGCAGATGCCACTACGAATGTTTTTATTTTGTAGATTTTCACCATAAACAATTTATTGTTTGTAAAATTTTAGATAGATATTTAAGAAACAAACACATCATAAAAGTTTTTTTCACCTTAAACGGTAAAATAATTATAGAAAATTAGAAATATAACGAAAAAGTGTTTTGTTCATAATAAGGTGTAATTCGGACTAATTCCCTAGAGGTAAATCCGTAATGTACCGACAAACGGTATTTAGCTAGGTTTTCGAAAAGGATTGGAGCACCGCACTAAATACTGTTTTCCGGTATATACAGGACAATGCGCTTCAATGATAAAATGCTAAAATCTTGCCTTTTTATCCAACGGAATGAACTTTAAATGGTCTAATTCATCTTTTCACAGCGATTTATGTATGATTATGTATGTAAAAATAGGCGGAAAAACGTATTCTTCTTTCATGACCATGATTTCTGCAAGCGTCTAGAGGTACTGCTCCAATCCGAGAATATGATGCAATTACTTGAGATGATGATGATGATGAATCCTGTATTTAGTTAAATCCGTACGGTTTACAGTCACACGCTCCTCCATGTATCGAAAACAGGTCACATGCTTCTCCATGCCTCAAAAAATTAACGCGTTCCAATGATTGCCATAGCAGTTATTAGACAAGTTGGTAACAATGTTTTATTAAAAAAAACCAACGACATAAAAAATACAATCGTATATAAAAAAAAACTTTTTGTTTGCTTTTCAGATACAAAATGTGTTCTGATATACAAAAGTTTCTCACGAGAAAGACCTTACATGAGTTATTTATTTTATTGTCGGTGCTAAACAACTCGGAATGTTTTACAGAATAACATACAAAGATTGATGAAAGATTACTATCCGAATATCTCCATTTCATGCTTTTCTCTTTGCATGTTCATATCTATACATTAATCAAGAACTACTATCTGAAAATTTTATTAGTTTTTTAAAAAGAGGGTTGTTTTTGAAATGATAAAACGCTGGTGTCTTTATATTTTT